TTCTTGCCTGTGTAAGTAGTTTGATGTTTCAGCCATGCTAGAGTTGGGTTAATATATTTAAGTTACCATTTAAGTATAACAAAACATAAAACTGTAGCTAGTGGCTCTGATTGAATGACACAACTTACATTGCCCCTCATAATGCCCAATGCCCTTGTATTAAAATTTATCGTTAGTTTTTAAATATAGTGGCAAGACAATTATTATATTAGTTTTGTTTGAAGTTTTTATGTGAATAAATGCACACCAAGTTAAATAATAGAAATTGGACAGTAGTGGCTCTACACTCAGGAAAGGTAGATAAATGCATATAGTTCCAGAGACTGCAAAACCCTTTGTCCACTTGATTAGTATGCCAGAATCAATAGATGTCTGCTTCACAAGAAATGAAAAACTGAATCCAATCTCTTTCTTTCTTCTCAATGAGACATGAAACCTACTATCCTCCTTTGACATCAAACACCCCCTACAATGAAACTCAGCTTGTGTTTGATGAGAAAAAAATAATTTGACAGACCTAATCTTTAGGGACTTGAGCAACCCACATCTATCAGACCAATTTAGACTGCTTTACCTAATCTTATAGGCTAAACAGAAGACGTAGGAGTGACATCCTAACTTGAGCAAAATTTCACCATCTTTTCATTTCACCTTTACTCATCATCAACCTCAATTTGTTCTGAACATCACCTTTCAATATTACTATTAACTCACATATTTAGAAATCTATAAGGAATCATCCACAACATATTTCATTTAGGGTGCTACTTCCATTTTTTAGAATCATAATTAGATGATATGTGTTTATTTTTTTGTTGAAATCTATAAGGAATCATCCATTGTGTTATGATATGTGTTTATTTTTTTGTTGAAATTTTATTTTGACTTTGATATAGGTGTTGAAGTGGTTGGGAAGTGTGGGGTACCTCATTGGGAAGGCTTAAAGTGTTGTACAGTGAAGCAAAAGATCTATCAGAAACTGAAGCAAGGTATGTTTACTCCTGAGTTTTCCCCTGTGTTGTTTTCTTTGTTCCTTGCATGTATGGTGTGGTTGTGCTGTGTCTGGTCTGATTTCTTAGGACTCCAGTAAGATGTGTTCATTAATCTGTTCTTTTATCTGTTTATTGTGGGGTTTTCCCTTCTTAATAATTTGTGCTTTTATCTTTGTATGATCTTAATGTTCAATGTTATGGTGATTATCATTAGAGAGCTTGATATGATCTTAATGTTCTTTCTTGGTTATTGGTACTCTCAATACCCATCACTGATAACCACTGTTGCCACATCAATACCCATTGTCCCTACCACCACTCCTATAGTTAAAATATGTTCCAACTTCAACACTCTAAAATATGTTCCAACTTCAACACTCTAAATTTTCTTCTTCATTCCAAACTGTATAAGTTAAATTAATTAGATTCTCTGAACCCAGGTTCCAAATGGGGATCTCTAGTGTGTGAGACTGGCGTGATAACCAACTACAAAACCTAGACCCTACTGTTACACATTTTTACAATATTAAATGAAAACTACTTTATAATTTTATTTTATTTAAAGAACAAAAATGTCATAAATATTATACAATTATAATTATTTTATAAAAAATTTAAAAAGTAATTAAATAATAAAATAATTTTACCGTTGTAACATGTTAGGTTATTGGTACCCTCAATACCCAACACTGATAACAACTATTGCCACATAAATACCCATTGCCCTACCATCACTCCTATAGTTAAAATATGTTCCAACTTCAACACTCTAAAATATGTTCCAACTTCAACACTCAAAATTTTAGAGCATAAATATAATATTGTGTCTTGACTTATCTTTAATATTAATGTAAAAACGTGTTTTCATAAAGGTCTTGTAGTCCTGTTGGTGATAGTTACTTGTTGGTCTAGTGGTTGTGTTTTAATCTTGCTTAATGAATAAATTATTTATTTGTTTTATTAATTTATTTCAACCTTTTCCTATGGAACGTAGGTTGGAAATTATTTTATTTTGTTGTTCATTTTTTAATGTTTTTCAGCGTGGGGCTCATTTTCTTTAAGGGATTAAGGTGTTGTACAGAGAAGAGTTAGTTTGTTTTCTTTAGTGGTTTTACAAACAACTTTACCAAAAAGAAAGGTATGTATATATATTACATAGTAAGTGTACCAATTTAATCTCTCCATGATTAGAGTTTCGCATGATCAAGTAGTGTTTGAGTTTACTGCTGAGGTGGGAATCTGTGCTTATGCATTGTATGATCTTATTTAGTTTGGGTGGTGAAGCAAACTACGACGAGGGTAGTAAATGTCAATGACTCTAGGCTAGGAGACTCTAAAGTAATAGTACTAAGATGGATAATGTAGGGTATGGTTATTGAATCAGTAGTGTTGGGCATTTGTTTTGTACTGAGAGCAATATTATTTTGTCTAGATGCTATAGTAGGCTTGTTGGGATATTAACGTATTGATGTATGAGAGTGAGAAACCATTGGGAAGATAGTTTGGAGGATCGAACGAAAAGTTCTGCCAAGAAATTTTAGTCATTTCTTTTAGGTTGTACTGTTACCTGTGTTTTTTTTATACCTGTGCACACATCTTTTCTCTGCATTGTTTGGCATGTTTTACGTGATTCATCCTAGGTTAGTGTTTTATAAGGATGTTATATACTCCTACAGTAAAAGTTGCTTTTAGAGGATTTAACGTGATCTTGTAGCATAGAGTGTGTTTTGTATTGTCGAAGGTTTTAACGCATACAGTGATATTATATGGAAATCTTTGAAAGCTAATGCATATAACAGGTTTATAGTGTAATAGTAATTGGTTATCAGTTGTGTTATTTGGATGCTACAGGTAAATATATGTGAATAATTAGTGGTTTACAATATTTGGATGCTACTGGTAAATATATGTGAATAATTAGTGTTATTTGGATGCTACTGGTAAATATATGTGAACAATATTGTACATAATGATTAATATAAAACAATAATATTGTACATAGTGGTTTACATGTACAAAACAAGTAGTAAGATAGAGACATGTTGAAAAACATTGTAAGATAGAGAGAAGAGGACCTAAATTAATTTAGGTTATTCTTTAGGAAGCCATTTGATAGGGCACGTGTCATAATATAGAGATGTATATTAAGCATTGGCTAATTGTTTTGTAATCGATTTATGTACAGAACATGGATCATGCTCCACCAAATCGTGCATGGATGTACGATAGGTGTCATAGAGGAAGAGGTGCTTTGAAAGAGTCTTTTGTATTAGGTGTTGAAGAGTTTATAACTAAAGCTTGTGAATAAGAACGTTACCGTAGAGATGGGGGTCTTCGATGTCCATGTTTAAAGTGCGATTGTACAAAGATTCTGCATGAAAGAGTTGTGAAGCTTCACCTTTAAAAGAACAGTTTCAAGCCTAATTATTTCATTTGGGAGGATCATGGGAAAAGGATGCCAGAAGATGATGTACAGAATCATGAAAGTTGGATGGCTGTAGAGACGAAACGTGGTCAAATTAACCAATTTCAAACAATGGAAGACATGGTGCATGATGCTCTTAGGAAAAATGAGTCATGCCAAGCATCTACTTCTAATAACATTGAAGAGGCTCCGAGTGAAGAAACACAGGTTTTTTAATTTTTTGTTGGATGTAATCCAGCCGTTGTATGGAGGAGCATCAGACTCGAGATTATCAATGTCTGTCAGACTATTAGCTTGCAAGTCAAATTGGAATATTCCTAACCAATGCATAGATGTTATTGCAAAAATGATTATGGATGCAACACCCATCAAATCAGGTTTGCCTAAAACATACTACGATGCAAAAAAGTGTGTATCAAAGTTGGGATTACAATCGCAGAGGATTGATTGTTGCGTGAATGGTTGCATGCTCTTCTATGATAATGAATATGGTAAGAATGATGGCGCGTTGCTTGAATGCAAATTTTGTGGAAGGCCAAGATATCAACCACGTAACACTGGAGCAACTACTACAAAACAAGTTCCTATGAAATCAATGTTCTATTTGCCATTAATTCCCATACTACAAAGAATGTATGCCTCAACACAAACTGCAGAACAAATGACATGGCACTATCAGAACATGTCGACGAATGGTGTTTTGTGTCATCCATGCGATGGAGAGGCTTGGAAGCACTTTGATAGAGTATATCCTGACTTTGGTATCGAGCCACGCAATGTACGACTCGGTTTATGCTCTGGCAGTTTTAACCCAAATGTACAAGCATCAAATATACCATATTCATGTTGGCCAGTTATTGTCACCCCTTATAATCTTCCTCCAGAAATGTGCATGTCTAAACCTTACATGTTCTTGACATGTGTCATTCCCGGGCCATTCAATCCAAAGGTTGCCATAGATGTGTACTTAGAGCCCTTGATAGACGAATTGAAGAAGTTGTGGACAAATGTGATAACATATGATATTTCAAGGAAACAAAACTTTATTTTGAGGGCCATGCTAATGTGGACAATTAATGATTTTCCTGCTTGTGGTATGTTGTCCAGTTGGAGCACTCATGGTAAACTGGCATGCCCACATTGCATGGAGCATACAAAGGCTTTTAGATTATATCATGGGGCAAAAAATTCATGGTTTGACTCCCATCGGAGCTTTTTACCGAATGACCATGCTTTTAGGAGGAATAGGAATGCTTTCAAGAAGGGGGAAGTGGAGATGGATGGCACACCACCATATCTTACAGGAACAGAAGTTTGGAATAGAATCAATGGTTATCCTAAAATAACTAAAAATGGTGCACCAAGAATTGATGGATATGGTGAGTGGCATAATTGGACGAAAAAAAAGCATCTATTGGGATCTATCCTATTGGAAGGATAATTTGTTAAGGCATAATCTTGACTTCATGCACATTGAAAAAAACTTCTTTGACAACATCTTTAATACTATGATGAATGTTGTACTGTAGACGAAAAGCAAATTATACACTTTCAATAGACCAAAAGCAAAACAAGTCTGTCATTGGGTAAAAGCTCTTAGGATGCCTGATGGATATTCTTCTAACTTGTCAAGGTGTATTGATGTGAATAGGGGAAAGCTCATTGAGATGAAAAGTCATGACTGCCATGTGTTTATGGAGTGCTTACTTCCTATAGCGTTTAGTTCTTTACCGTCTCATGTTCTCAATCCCATTACAAAGATAAGTCATTTCTTTAGAGTTTTGTGTTCTACTACATTGAACAAGGATGACCTAGCAAAGATGGAAGAAAACATTCCAATCATTTTGTGCAAGATGGAGAGAATATTTCCTCCCTCATTCTTTGATTCTATGGAACATCTCCCTATCCATCTTCCATATGAGGCACGACTTGGTGGACCAATCCACTATAGGTGGATGTACCCATTTGAAAGGTGACAATATGACATCTTATTGTTCAATTTACTAGGCATAATTCAAAACCCTAACATATCAGTTTCAAATTTGTAGGTTCATGGGATATGCTAAACGTTCAGTAAAGAATAAAGCTAGGGTTGAAGGATCTATTTGCGCATCATACTTGCATAGAGAAACAACTCATTTTTGTTCTCACTATTTCAAAAACTTCATGTTAACACCACAAAGCAGTAGAAATGAAGTAGACATTCAAATAGAAAGCTTTACGACAACATTATCAGTGTTTGACCAACCTGGCCGTCATTCTGGGAGGGAATCAACACATTGGGTAAATGATGAAGAATTGAGATCAGCTCATGTTCATGTATTGATCAATTGCAATGAAGTTGAACCTTACCTTGAGTAAGCCTCCAAAATCAATTATATTTCCCAATTCTTTCATTTGATATAATTTATTGTCTGTGATCTAATCTTGTCGTACATGTCGACAGCTCATTCTTACATACCTATCAACTATCTGAGTCAAACAGTTCGACATACATACATGCTAATTTCCCATTGTGGTTCAGGCAAAAAGTACGACTTCCTATCATTCTTACACATTCATTTCTTCCTTAATTCTTTAATCATTACATTGTTGAATAGTTTCATATCCTGAATGGTTGTAGGTTCATAACGATCCTTTAAGTGTGAG